ACTTCAAAGAGAAAGGAAAAATTGAAATCGCATCATATGACCCCTTTAAATACCCTATATTTAATAAACCTATATTTCATACAAATGTACACTACCAGTCAATTGTTTTTTAAAGAACAAAGCCTTCATTTATTTGATACAAAGTACAACAAGAGCAGTAATATTGTGAAATATTTTTACTATTAAAAATAACTGCTTTCGATTGGAAGATATATTTAAAATGTAATATATTCCTGTGATCAAAAAGCTGAATTTTCAGCATCATTACTGCAGTTATTTTAAATAGTAAAAATATTTCAAAATGTTACTGTTTTTGCTATACTTTGGATCAAATAAATACAGGCTTGGTGAGCAGAAGAGACTTCTTTAAAAAACATTAAAAATCTTACTGTTCAAAAACTTTTGACTGGTAGTGTGTATGTCAGCATATAGTTTGATATAAGGTGAACATTATTTGTGCTGTTTTTTTTCTTAAATATTATATAGTTTTATAGGAGGAGGTTTCATAGACTTGGAAAATTCATTATTCAGAAGTTTGTAGGTACAGGCATCAGTTGTGGGTGTTCTTGCCAGTTTTTACGAAGCTTTTTTAAAATAGTGTTCATATCGATATTGGAATTATATTGTATCGACCGAAATTAAGAAATATATTGTGATATAAATTTTGGCCATATCGTCCAGCCCTATGTTAGCATGATTAGCATGATTCTAATTAATTAATTATTTTATGAGAGCTGGCATTTGAAAAGAGTCAAAATAATTTTAGAATAATATTCAGGGTTATTACCATTAAGTAAAACTATTAAAAACATTTTTTTCTTTATTGAAATTAAGCTGAAATAAAAGAAAAAATAAATATGAGAATAAATATTAGATGAAAATGTTCAATTAAATGAAAATTAGAAATGTTGCCTTGGCAAATAACTGTAATAAGTTTAAGTAGATGTAGCAAAGTTACTAACTGGAAATAAATAAAAACTAAAACTGAACAAAAATTAAAAATGAAATAAAGAAATTAATCAAACAAAAGCACATAAAATTGCTATAAATGTAACTAAAATAAAAACTGAAAATATAAAAATAAAATTCAGAAAAATTATAAAAAACTATAATAGTATATAAATAATACTAAAA